TAATATTTGTGTAAATTTAATAAACTTATCAACATAAATATATTGTTTAGAGTAAAATTTACTTGGTTTGATCAAACTCGCATGCAAATTACTAGCTTTGTTTATGTTCATATTATTCATTATTTTATATAAAGTACAAAGTAGATAAATTACCTAAATACACAATTTATTTTATCATATTTTCTAAATTTTCTATCATTTAAAAAAATTACAAAAATCTCTTCGCTCTTATATTCTTGGATATATCACTTTACACAATGTATCCAATTGGATAATCACTTTACGCAATGTATCGAGACGTACGCGATATGTCGAAACGTCGAGTGATATATTCGAAATCAAGACGCGATGTATCAAGACATTAAGGGATGTATTTGAAACCGAGATGTCATATATCAAGAATTTTTGGGATGTATCCGAATTCCACCAAATTTAAGAGATTTCTTTAATTTGAAAAGGAGTAGGAATATAATGTAATTAGCTCTTTAACACTATGAGATTTGTGTAAAATTCCTAAAAATAAACGGAGGAGTAAAATACTACACCTTGTTTGGATGATTGTTACTCGTCGTATTATATTATATTTATTAGTTTAAATACAATATTTATTTTGTTTTTTACTTAAATTTTATCTGATTATATCATTTAAATAGATAATTATGAAAAAAAATCTCATTTTATATAACAACTCATTTAGTCATTATAACCTTAATATTCTCCTTTCATTTTACTTATTTAATAATCTTATTTTATTTTTTATCGAATCTTTTCATAATAATTCTATTTGATATCCCACTTTCTCTATTGTTTTGTTATTCAAATAGTTATTGTGTGATTCTATATAACTTCAGATGACAATACAATCTAAACAAATATTAAATTATTAAAATTATACAATGCAACTTAATACATTATATTATGAAACAATATCAAACAACCATCCAAACAGTGTAAAGGGCAAGGGTAAAGATAGGCACAAAGAACAAAAATAATGCTATCCAAAGAGCCAACAAAAAATAAAATTTGATACTGAATGACACGTATAGACCTTATATTGACTATACTCTTTCCAAAAACACAAAAAAATGACACGTATACCCACGTATTATGCCATATGTCCACTAACCATATCACATCTCTTCTTATATATATCTCAACAAAAAAATTCCACACAAAATCAAATTCAATACAAGTTACATTGAGTTAGTTTTATTGTGTAACAAAATATTATGGCCTCAAAAAAGTTGATTTGTGTGTTGTTGCTTGTGGTGTTGTGTTTGTCTAATTTTGGGAGTTGTAAAGAAATCCATGATGATGAAGTTGTTGAGCAACAAATTAGTAAAGAAAATGAAAATTTAGAGTCATCATCATGGGCAGGATGGGCTAAAGATAAGATTTCTGAAGGACTTGGTTTAAAATCTAATGATAATGATGATTCAAGTGTTAAACATGCTTCTGATTCAACTATGGATGCTGCTAAGAATGCTAAAGATAAGATTACTGATACTGCTTCAGGTTAGTACTCTCTTTTATACGTGGCAGAGTCAGAATTTTAAGTTTATGAGTTCTGAATTCACAGGTTAGTACTCTCTTTTATATGTCGTGCAAGAGTCAGTATTTTAAGTTTATGAGTTATGAATTCATAGTTTTGTGGTGTGTAAGCTTAGTTGGCTCTTAAGTAACTAAATTGATTTATGTTACATTTTTTTTTTTTGGTTCATTTTTAAAAAAAGGCACTTGTGATATTTATTTAACTTCAAAATTCTTTCTTTAATTGAAAGATCTTACGAAATGTGATGTCGAAATCAATTGAGATTCATTTCAAACCATAAATTTCAAAGATAAACCTTTTTTTTAATTGAACACCATTCTATCGTTGTCACTTGAACTCGTGATCAAGAAAGATGTACGGTCTAATAATGAGGCAATTATGAAATATTTACTCACGAGTGAGGGCAAGTTCTTTAGTTTGGTTTATAGTTTCTCATGGCTATATGGTTCATCTGGGGAGTCGAAAAATAGTGAACGGTCTTATCCAGTGGCAGAGCTAGAAATTTTAATAAGGGATTTAAAATCTGAGAACTAAACACACGAACTAGTGAAAGGGACTTCGACATCTATTATACATACCTAAATAGTAATATTACACACTTGCATTTAGGCCAGATACGAGCTCGTGGCCTGAGGCCTTGAGTTTGTGCCACTTAAAGTTCGTGGCCTCAGGCCTCGGGCACATCGGAGCAAGCATCCGTCACACAACATCATCACCAAGTCTCAAAATTTAGGCACAATGTAGTGTGATGGAAACATTACTTCACGCCAAGTAGACGTGCCCTTTGACATGATAGTTGTTTAAATTTACAATGTCAGGAACCGGACAATACGTAGCAGACAAGGCAGGAAATCTAAAGAACGCCGCGGAAGAAGTGAAAAACAGAGCATACCAAACTGCCGAAGAAGCGAAAAACAAAGCATACGAAACAGCGGAAACAGCAAAAGAAAAAGCAGCAGAGAAATCAGAGGAAGCCTACTCAAAAGCAGGGGAAGCAAAAGAAAAAGCCTACTCAGAAGCCGAGAAGGCGAAACACAAAGCAGGGGAAGCAAAAGAAAAAGCTTGTTCAGACGCTGAAAAGGCGAAACACACTACCTCCGAGAAAGCACAAGAAGCTTTCCACAAAACAGGGGAAGCAAAGGAAAAAGCCGCGGAGAAAACAGAGGAAGCGATGGGGAAAATGAAGGAAACGGGCGAAAAAGCTGAGGGGGAGACGGAGGAACATATAAATTGGGCGAAAGAAGGATACGGAAGCGCGAAAAACAAAGCGGGAGAGACATTGGAGAAAGCTAAAGAAAGTGTAGCTTCAAATTTGGAATCAGCTAAGGAGAAAGTAAAAGGGAAAAAAAGAGATGAAGAGTTGTAAGTAAAAGCTTAAGTTGTACGGACACTTTACTTTCAATGTCGTGTGGGGTCGGGTACACGCATCTTTCGATGATACGGGTTTGACATGCATCTTTCGATGATATTCTTGAAGAGTCTTGAGCGAAGTGCAAGTTGCTACATGTTTCTCTTTTGGAGGTTTATATATATGTAATAAGTAAACAGAAAGCTGATGTTTTTTGTTTTGTTTTGTGTTTGGTAAAAATGTATTACTGGACTTCTCTTTTATGACAAATGATGTTTGGTCTTTAGTTTTACCTGTGTCTTTGGTTGTTAAAACTAAGCGGCGGAGTGGCCTTGTTGTTGTTACGATCCACTGAGATTCAGTTTGTTGCTCGGTTTTGTACTCTCTCTCCAGATTTTATACTACCTTACAATTTCATAGAGTATTTCTAATAGTAGTATGTTTTATGGTGTTTCTAGTAGTGTATATATGGATTGTATCTTTTGTTAGAAATTATACAAACAATAATAGTAACATGAAATTATTGAAAATTAAGGACATTTTTATAGCTTGAGGCGGATACACAATATTGATCGAAAGGGAGAGCAGCACATCGTGTCTCGTCAACTCTGTATCGATCAAAAGGCAGGTCGGCACAACTTCAACCAAGGTAGTTGGCGGAGCAACAATCGTGTTATGATACAATGAGTTTTTGATAAACAGAGCAACAATCGTGTTATGATACAATAAGTTTTTGATAAACAATTGTGTTACGATACAATAATTTTTTTATAATAATCATAAAACATAGTATTGAATCTAACAAAAACTATGGTAACCATCAAAAACAAGTTATTAAAGCTTCATGTCTACATGCCATGCCACATATATTTCCCTTCACTAGGCCAAAATTTGAAAAAAATTAAAAACATTGAATTCTGCACCGTGTTGTTCTGCTTTTTATAAAACTAGACCAAATCGATCAACCGCACACTTAAGGCTTAGACCATCAAATTTCAAAGATTACACATGATAATTTTTGATGTACTGCTTTATCGAATGTTTTATATTACAAGCTCTTGCCTTAAATCTGTTTCATTTTTTTATGAGAGAAGCTGTTATTAGTTTGTAGATGTAGCCTCCTAAAATGATCTATTAAATTCAACGAATTATTAATTCAAGGGATCAAAACGACGAGTTATTAATGGAATTCTTCCCCGTTCCATTGCTTCAGTTTGCCTTTTTCTGTTATGACTACTCAGAAAATGAAGGACCAATATGTTACCCTTCCCTTTTGTTGTTTCTATTGTTCAGTAAGCCTGGAGTTTGTTGCAGATCCTAGACTGCATACAATATGTGGTCTTGACTTGTAATTGATTATAATTACCTTACGGTCTTTGTTGATTGTTTGTACAGAGGGATTTTCCCAAAGGAGAACCCTTCTGGATAACCTCAAAGCAAATGACTCTGTTATTGGTATTTATTAATTCTGATGAATCAATCAATCATACGTGTGTTGTTCATCTTTCGCCCTCTCCTTTACTCTTAAATTCAGAATTTTCATCCATTTACTTTGATTTGCAGAAACGAATTGCTGATCCATAGTTCCTTCCAGACCTTTCTGTTTGAATCATTCAAATTTGTGATTTATGTTGGTAGCATTCTTCGTGTAATATATGTTGTGTTTGAATAAAATCGGTGCCTCTATCTAATACTAATATATAATATTCTTACACCTTTGTATTATGTTTATGAATGTGTACTTCCCTTCTTCTCACTTGTTTGTTTATAGATATCTACTTTCTTTTCTCCATCATTTATTTTTCCAGAAAATTTAGCTTCTAGCACCATTTTTTTTGAAAAGTTAGGTTGAAGAACACTTGGAAAAGGTAAATAAATGACACACACATCCAGCCCCACACTATTGCTATTATACTCTACATCCATTGCTAAGACGTTTTCTCTTATTCCAACATGTTTTGTCAATCACGCATCACAAAGCTACAACGAGTACCAACTTTTGTAAATATGTAACTACTTGCATAGACTCTGCATTTGCAATATCATCAACTTCATTATGATCGAGAATTTTTTTTCGATAAATACTGTAACTCATTTACGTGAAATGATCCAAATCATATTATATAACTAGAACAGTATATGCAATACACATAACCAAAATACATCAAACATAAATAGGTCAGTCAATATTAACAACTTTAGTGTTCTCAACTAGCACAAGATTCAGAAAGCTATACTTCAACTGTCTTCCCTTCCTTGTGATTCAGCTTAGCAGATAAACCAACTGCATGTTAGTCCAGGAAAAAAATAAAATTAGCAGTCAAATTAGAGATGCAAACCAAAGCAAATTAGCTATTAGGTCAATATTGTTTACTCCAACTACTCTTTGACTGCTACAACACCAGTAATGCGAGGCAAGTACTCAATTATTATCTCATCACATTTATTTTTTGTCCAGAAAAAGCAGTTTTCATGTTTTAGTGTCGGTCATATCAAATTTTCACCTCTCCTACCAAATATATCTGCAACTGAAGATAAAGTTACACATAGAAAGGAATATCTTTTTATTCGACTCCTAAAATTCATCAACTACTTGTAGTAGTATTTTTTTTTTTGTATGTTGTCCTCAGAAGAAAGCCCTATCCATACGTAAATCAAAGATTAAGCCCAAAGCTAAGGAAACAACAAAAACAAATAGCAATAAGAGCATTCAGGGTCTTCTGCTGAGTCAATGGCATGGTAAAAAGGAAAAATAGATACCTCACATCAGGTCTTTCTCCTGCAAAGAACGACAACATTCTCTCCATGTGGTCCCTTGTATGCATGGATTTGAAAGGTTTGTAGAGGTGTGCGCAGAGTGAGATTATCAACTTTAATCGTGATGAAATATTCTCGACATGATTCGGTTGAGATATAGTTCACTTTTTCAATACTAGAAACCTTGTATTTGTGAACCTACAACAAGGCATGAAGAAAATAAATATTGTTGGGAACACTACGGTTGAGGGAGTTATTCACCCAAAAGCAAAAAAAATAAAAATAAATAGAAGCATACATTGGTTTCTACATTGTTGTAATCGTCAATAGCATGCTTAGACAGTTCCATCAGCATGTCAGCTTCTTTCTCAAACTCTAGATATGGTGTATATATAGCTGCCTTAGCATCACCCGGATAGATGTCAACGTCAAAACCCTGTCAAATATGGCAATTAGCCATGAATTCATATCCAAGTTGTAACAAGAAAAAGGCCTAATCGAATTGCACAGGTCTGTCTGAATTTTAGTTATATAGAGATAAGGGAAATTTAAACAAGTTGATAATCAATCAAGTGAAGAAAATCAATTACATGGAACTAAAATGCTCTTTTAGTATTTGGTCTATTATCCTAACAAAGAAGCAGGGGCTAATCAAGTAAGAAAAAACACTTAAACTAAAGCACCACAAAGCATCCATGAAAATATTTGTTTTAAAAGGTATTCAAGAAAAAAGTCACTTGTAAGTAAGCCCCACATTCTTCTCTGCCACAATTAAGTCACTAAAACCTTGGAAACACTCAGACAGGATGAACCTTGGCACATCTGTAGGAAAGGTTAGTCAGGGAAAGCATTGTGTCTTTGGGCAGAGAAGTGAGAGCTAAGAGTAGTTGGGTAACGACTTCATTTTCATGAGATCTTATCTATTTGCTTCGATTTCAGGAGGTTCAATTCGCTGTATAAAAGAAGTAAAAGCTTTGTCATTATTTGAGAAATCAGTCTAGTTCGTGAATGCATTCTTGAAATTCAAGCTTGGAGCAAAGGATCCAAAAACTTGGCGAGAAATGTATTTTTTTCTCTTGTACAAAAATGGACTTCCTTTCTGATGGAAAATCACGAAATTTGTTTTCCCATCGTGATTTGATACAGTAGAATGTTTGCAGAAAAGACTGGTAAGGTATTGAGCATACCAAAACAGAGTTAATCTGATATTGAAAATATTTTCTAGGAAAATAAGAGGGTTCCTTGCTTGTTTTTTTGTGTTCTGTAGATGAGCAAAAATATATATTCTAAAAATATTTGTACATAATTTACACAAATACTATGGGAGGTGGGGTGGATACGTAGAGGCATGGGGTTGGTGGGTATGGAGGCTATTGGGCTGGGGTATGTTGGAGGGTGGGGACGACACAATCAATATTGAATGTCACTATAGGAACTTGATTTCCCTATTTTCATTAGAGAAGGTATTTTCCTTGTTTTTAAGGAGCTTGGTTTGCTAGAGAAAATGTTTTCCAAAATATTTAACCCGAACATGGAAAAATTGGATTCATACCGAACACAACCTAAGTCAAAACTATTCTCTTCTCTGGTTCAACGATTACCACTGTTACCCATGAGCTGGTAAAAATCAGCTCCCATAGGATTACACTTGCTACGACCCATTTAACCCAGCATTTTGATGGATCATTCTAGGTTGGCCCATTCTGTCTTTGTTTAGTGACCCAACCCGTTCAAGCTTGGGCGCGTTACACATTTAAGATTTGATATTGCCAACTCAAGCTAAGAACAAATAAAGAAGAAGTAGCAGAAATTCCTAGTATGATTGTTTGAAGAACTTCTACTATGAGAGATAACAATAACAAAGAGAAATACAAGGAATTACGATGTGATCATCAATCTTTTTAAGTTAAGTTATCGGGTTCTAAATTAAGAATTTGTACAAAAACATGTTAATGGTCCAAACCTATACTTGTTATCAAAATTCTATCCCCAAACAAAGGTTTAATGTCTTCATTCACAAAAAAAAAAAAAACCACCTTTCAAGAGTAAACAGGCCAAACAGCTAATATATAGTACGAAATTCAACTAACAAAAGCTGGCAAACTAACAATAATAGTTTACGAGCATAAAAGAATTACATCGCTTTCACAAATCTGATGGAGAAATGAAAGAGGAGACGAACTTACATCGCTTTCACAAATCTGCCGGAAGTATAAAACATAAGATGCTCGAAATACATCAATATACTCCTTTTTAGCGTCTTTAGGCATAAAATCGTCGTCATTCCACATAACCTCACCTTTCAAGTACTTGCGGGGTAGATGCCTATTCCATAGGCTTTGTTCTTCTGCAGAATTTGGCTTCTTCTCCGGCGAAAAGGGATTAATGTCGGACATTGTGAGACAAACCCTAAAAGTGATTTCCCCCCCTTTTCTTTATATCGGGTTCAGACATACATGATACATATACCCCTTTCTTTGCCTGTGTTCGTCCTTGTATTTTTCTATATTGAACGAGTTTTGAGCTAAAATAATGGGAGTATTTTTCATTTTCCTATTTAAAAGTAACGATGTTAAACTCATGTTGTAAAATATAAAATCAAATTGGAATTAAAAAAAATATTGAATTGCTAATTTAATAGTTTCGATAACAATTTTGCTTTTTTTCACATATCAATTATTTAAAGTTTTTTACTTATGATCTAATTCATACTTCTGTTCTTTTTTACTATTTCAAACTTTTGATTACTCTACGAGATGTGAGTGTTTGCTTTTGAGCAAAGATGCAATATGTCATTCATGTAGATGATTCATTTGATTTGTCACATTATTTCTAAGTGATTTTTAATAATTTTCTATTTACAACAAATCTTAATGGTTACATCTATTAATAACAATCAATAATCTATAAACCTATATATTAATAATTCTATAACAATTTAGCATGTCCCCAATCAGTCGAATTGACAAACTCCAATACCTTTCATTCCATACGATTAGTTCATGGCTTAGTGATATATTGTCGAGAAAATGGTCAAAAGTCCCCCCTAATTTATATCCGAATTTTCAACTACATACTTTAACTTTATGGGAATCCTATCACCCACATGAACTCTTTAAAACTGAAATTATCACACCCTTAAAACGTCATAACCACATCTATGCCAATGGGTGAAACTCCCGCGATGTGAAAATTTTATTAAAATTTTCTTTTTATTCTTCTCCCTTTTTGACTTATTATTTCTTTTAAAACCAATTTAAGGTCAAAATGTAAGTTTATGAATGTATTTTGGATCTTCAGTTTTGAAACATGTTGATAACACAGATGGTTGCTAATTATTTGAAGCTAAATACATTGAGTTTGATTGAGTTTATGGTTGCGATTTTTAGATTTAAAGAAACACCGAAATTTCATGGAAATCGTCAAGCTTCCATATGAAATTATTGAATCTACATTCTTGAAGTGGGAGCAACTTTCAGATGGTTTGAAGAGTTCTTTATGTTTGAGAATTGAAAACTGAAACTCATGGTTTAAAATGTGAAGCATTAACTTGAAACCTCCATTAAAGTTAGTTCAAAAACTTGAGCACCTTTTTGAGTGGGTTATATATCAAAAGAATTGAAACGTGAGGGAAGCTTATATTAAAAAATTAGGGAAATTTGGAGAAGATTTAGAGTGATTTTGCATCAAATTTCAGAACAATGGAACGAAGAAGATGAAGAACATGCGCTGAGTTTTTCAAATTCACTGGAAATTGTCCAGTTATTAAAATTAGTAGTGGGTCTGTTAGGAATTAAATATAGGATAAAAAATTATCTTAGTATTCAAAGTTTATCGAAGAAAATCATTTGGGTATCCCTGTATTAAGCTTATAGGTTAGGGGGCATTTGGTTATTTTCTCATATATTGTCACTTATTACTTTGGCCCTTTACTGCGATCCTTTTAATCAACCTATAAATTTTACTTTCTATATATTTAAACCCCCAGATTAAAAATCATATCCCGAATTAGAAATTATATCTCCGCCACCAATTACTGAATATGTTACATATTACAGATTAAAAATCATATCCCGTATTCTATTATTGTTCGTATGACATAAATTTAACAAAAAGGTACATGCTACATATACTACAAGAAACACCATAAAATATTCTCCCTCAATCTCATTTTATATGAGATGCTTTTATTTTTTTAATCAAGTAAAAAAAAAGTGATATATTTTCGATAAAAATTCAAGAACATTTTAAAGTTAAATGAAATGTAAATTTGGGACGGATGAACTATTACTTGATACTACTATTAAAAATTAAATATAGCTTAACACCCAATAAAAGAGAAGTCCAGTAACACAAATTAAGCTCATCTCTAATGAAACATTAGACTTATTTGAATTTATAAAAAGAAGTACTCATTGTAATGAAGTTAATTTATGTTAGTCAAATCCTATGTAAACACTCTTTTATCATTTGTTTATCAACAACTCAAAATCATATTAAACTATGTTTTTTTTAAATTTTTTTTTTTTGAATAATTTCAAATTATGCCGTAGAGTTGTTAATATGGACCGACTCAGCTTATCCAAATATCATGCAGGGGCGGAGCTACGACATGGCGAGGGTGGTCAGATGAACAACCTTCGTCGGAAAATTTTTACGGGTATATATACTAAATATCGAGTTTTTTGGATATATACTAACTGTTGAACAACCTTGATACAATAAAGGTTGACAGCCTAGCGGTTAAGGTTGTGCAAAGATGCCTCAGCGTTTCGGGTTCGAGCCCAAGTGTTGACGTTTTCTTTAAATTTTTTCATTATTCCGTTTGTTTTCTTAGAAAAGGCAAAACTCAGCTTGGGTTCGATCCCAGGCTTGAACATTTCATTTATTTAATATTTGTTCCGTTTTTCTCTTAAGAAAAAGTACAAAAGTTAGAAAAAAGTATTTAAAGATGTTTCTAATGAGTGTATTATGAAAACATTTCAAGAGATGAAGTGTCGTCGAGTGCAATTGTAGTTACCACTTTACAATTTACATATTTTGGTGTGTATGAAACTATCCGTCAATATATTTGTCCTACTTCATCTTCCTTAGTTTATCCATTGATATTTTGTAAGTTTCTGTTTTAAGAATTTTCATTTTGAATATTTGGTTTGATATTGAGGTATGACTATTTTGAAGTCAATCTTTATAATCTGACTAGCAAGGTTTATTTTTTTACCTGTCCTAAAGTATGAACACCCTTGGCGAAAATCCTGGCTCCGCCACTGGCCTCTCCGTCAACGCGTGTGCTTCCCTGAAAATAGCATTGAATTCGAGGGGCATTTCGGACATTTCACCGTCACATGTTTATTTTCTGCTGCCTCAACCTTATCGCCTCCTTCCATGTTATTATTATTATATAAGAAAAGGGAATATAGCATACGCCTCTCCGTCAACGCGTGTGTTTCCCTGAAATTTCACTGAAGTTGAAGGGTGGTTCGGTCATTCTCCAACATAGAGTTGATCTTTTCTCTTTTTCTACATCAATTCTAACGCCGCCTCAATCTCCTCTCTCTTCGTCTTCTGTTCTTCCCAACTTTGTCGTTCTGTCCGGGTGAGTATACTTTTCACTTGTATTGATTTAATTCCTTAGTTCTACTCAATGGCGGATCCATAAATTTTATATCTCAATTATTTTTAATTTAAAAATTGCTATCTAGAGTGGGTGCTTAATTAATATATGTCAATGTATTATTAGATGTTGTACACAAATAATGGTGTTTATCAGAAAAAGGCAATGGGTGCCCATAGTCTATAACATACATCCGCCACTGGTTCTTCTACTGATGTTATTGATTTTGATTCCTTAGTTCTGCTTCTGTTAGTTGATTTTGGAATATTTGGTGCTTTGTTTGTATTCCACAATTTTTTGGGACCTCTTGACTTCTCCGATTTTGGCTTTTTTTTCATCTTTCTTTTTAACTCCTCTATGTCTTGACTTTGGACTTTCCTGAATTTTACAGCTCGCTTGTTTGTATTTCTGAGCTGTTGTAGGCCTTCTGCTCGAGGTTTTTTTTTTTTTTTGGCAATTGGTCTATCTGAAGATATACACTTCGTCATAGTTTTGTATTTGTCATCTGTGAGTTCTCTTTTACTTTGATTTGGAGTTCTCTTCGTGTGCCTAATATTGCTGAGTGAGGTTTACTAGATCAGCAATCAAATTTTGGTGGATTAACACCAAAAAACTCTGTATACACTAAACATACCGACAAAATTTTTAAATCAATACATAGGTTTCTCGGACACATTGAAGTTGTTGAAGCTGATTCACCAGACACATAAGAAAGGTGCAATGAGAGTGGTTTACCACGTAGAGTTTTATAGGGTGTTGTCTGGATAGCTAAATGATGACAAGTATTATACCAATACTTGGTCATAAGCAAGCATAGGTATCAGTTAGAAGCATACACATCACAGTAGCACCTTAACTAAGTTTGTAAAATTCAAAAAAAAAAAACTAAGTTTGTATGCATCTGCTTAGTACCTCTGCCTGGTTATCGAACTAAGGACGATAGACTGCTGAAGTATTTAGTTGCACTCCTTTCCATCCAAAAAGTTCCTGCTTGAAACAACTCAAACAAATAGCATCTTCGTCTTTAGTAATAGCATCGGGTGGCCATGAGAAAAAAGGTTCCCGGCTACTTAAATTTCCGTTCTTCATTTCAAGTTTCAACTTCTCAGCTCTCTATTTGCTTTGCGTCTTCAATTAATTCCTAATTATGTTTCAGTAGTAGTAAATTTTGTAGTAATAGATATAGAAAACTACACTTGAGACAACTTAGAATGAGGTATATACCTCAGTCCGATTAAAGAATGCAAAACACTGTTACGTTATCAACAAAATATTGTAGTAGCTTATTTGATCTATATATTTGTCACTCCATAGGCCACGTAGTGGTTGTACCGAAAACATTTTGATTACGTAAGCACACACTCATTATCATTAGAGCTTTGATTAGAATTTTTATGGGACTTTTTAAACTTCATCAACCTTTTCTTGGTGTTTTCCAATGGCATCAACTTATCTTTCGTGCTTTGTTTTGAGCTTTCCTCATCTGTTTGATGTTGACTCTTGCTCGAATTTGGTGGTGTTGTCAGTGTAGTGTTTTGCCATTTTACGAGTTAATTTTACATTTCAGCTTATGGTCTTTTTGATGTTCGACTGCTCCTTATCGTTTCCTTAGTCGGAAATATACACGAAGACATCTTAATCTTAGTTTTAAAAAAATGATGCCCGAGTGATCCAAATGATGTATTTCTTAGGCGAAGCATAACAAAATACCCCATCTGCTAGGACAAAGGTTAGTCCTCTTCCCTGCTTTTCTTTCTTTATATGTTATGTTAGCGGAAAGCTTAATCCTTAGAATTAGAGAGAGAAAAAGTACATGACAATAACACAGAGCTAACCTCATCAATGGAGGAATTAGGAAGGAATAACTTATGTTGCTTGGACTCTTCAAAAATGTCATCAAGTGTGTGTCGAATCTTTCAAATGTAGTGCATTTTTTAATGACTAAAGATCTTAATGTGTGGTGTAATAAGGAGTCGTCTCCAAAATCTCTGTTTGCTCTTACCTTTTTACACAATAGATTTTCTTCTTGAGATTATTTATGGTTGTCTATGATTTACTATATTATTTGTTTAAATTTGTTCTTGATATAACATTTGCATTTGCAATTTTGGAGCCAAATATTACATATGCAGAGCCTAACAATCTGTTTTATTCAAAGAATTTACTCATATTCTGCCACCACATTTTACTGCTATATATACAAAACCATCAAAGTGAAAACAAGTGTGTAAGAAAAGAGAAATAAGTCAAAACTAAAGGAAATTAAAAACTGAAAAGCTTTCAACATTTTGGGTAATGTTTTAATTTGACTTACAGCAGGACAAATTCACATGATGTTCATATATAGCATTTTATTGTTAATTCAGTCTCTTATTCTTAAAGTTGTATTACCATATCAACAAATAAAATTACTTTTCTTTTTACTACTTCCCTTATTGCTATACAAATAAGATTTTAGTACAGCAATCTGTCTTTTCACATGATCAACCTTATGTTACCTTATCGGGAGCATATGTCCACTGGCGATGAAAATACAAGAACACAAATCACAAACAATTTCTTTCCACCACACAACAATAGTGGGATCGATACAACGCTTCGCACCTATCAAGTAAACAAAATATTGGCTATGTTTTGATACAGAGGAACTTACTGGTGTATCATTATTATATCAGGATACTGTGAAGAACAGATACAAGCCTCAAGAATGATGGTTGAATTCATTGGACTAAGACTAAAGATAGATAAAACTTCTGCATAGAGGAAAATTGTAATAGTATTTTGATATTCATTTTGATTGTTTCATCGGTGTACATATTTGCAACACATATGTATGACACATAACAAAATTATATACTATGCTCATGTTGGGCCCGGGGAACGCCCGGCCAACCTTTACTAGTATTATAATAAAACTCAATAAATCAATATTTATATACTACTTAATTAGTTAATTTTAATGGTACATACCAGAATATATAATTTAAATAGTTCACTTTTCTTTCATATTTTTGAATATTAAAATAATACTGATACACCTTCTTTTTTTTTTCTAAAGAAGAGTCAGTTTAACCTAATTTTACAGACTAGGGTTTGTTGTTGTTAGGTGCGGCGGCGAGGACAAAGAAATGGCCGATTCCACAGCGTTGAAGAGGCAAAACCTTGACGGAGTAGTATTTGAGACACCGTCATCCGCGGAGAAGAAGCAAAAACATGAAAAATCTGTGGCGGAGGATCGTAAGAACGGATCTGATCCGCCACCGTTATTGCCGGAGAAGAGTAAAAACGGATCTGGGCCATCACCGGAGAAGAAAATTGATAATCTTGCAAAAGATTTTGACTACTGGTCTCTAACACCCAACGACGAGGGTTATGCCGAATTCCATTATGGTGAGCTTGAAGACTGCGGCGGTGTCGATGAGATTATGCCCGACGGCGCTTCGAAAGAGCAACGCCCTGATTTTGTTAAGCTTTTTGGGGCTTACGACCGTCAGATGTATAATTCCGATGTTAGCTTCCTACTACTTTTCTTCCTTTATTAATAACTTGTTTAAATGGTTGTTACCTATTATATCGTGTTAGTTTAAATACAATGTATGTTTAAAAATTTGTTCTTTGTTTGCTTCTGATGAATTACAATGTATATATTCCTAAATTGCAATCTGAATTACTAACACATCACATATAATGATTATACGTTTTAACTGTCCATGAATATGATGAATAAGCTGTTGCTTAGAATGTCTATATGTATTGAAACCAAGCTCCAACTCTATGCTTTCTAATGTGGTGCTGAATATTGCGCTACCTATGTTTATAAATCACTTGTGTTGCTATTGGATTGAATGCATTTGGTAAGTCCTGTTATGAATTTTCACTCTTTCATAGGTGTTTGGCTTTTAGCTTATTCTATGACTTTTGTGACAGGGTTTTGACTGTTATGATTATCCCTGTGGGTCTTTGGGTACCGGTATACAACCAATTCAAATTCAAAATTTAGATGCTCACAAGACTGAGAAAATTATGGAATTGGCTAACCATGCTATCCAGCTATACAACGAGGAAGAGTGCAATGTATGATTTTCCCCTATGCAACCCTTGCTTTGTGTGATTATAAGTCTCCTTCATCCCTAATATCCTTAATATATTGATCGACTTTCCTGGTAGGTTTACAAGTACAAGGCTTTGAAGATTGAGAAAGCAAATTATGAGTTGACGTCATACTTCCAATATTACATGACTGTTAAAGTTCTAAATATCACTCTCGGTTCTCTTGTTGAGACCTTTCAAATTCGTGCTGCTAGAGATATGGATGATTCTGATCGCAAACTAGTCTATAGTTGCAAACCAAAAGTAAAGGTAAACACCTAATAAGACTTACAAATACTTCTTTCTTTTTGTGTGTGTGTGTGTGTGGGGGGGGGGGGGGGGA